TTTTAAACTCCCCCCTTCTTTCTGGGGAGATCAAAGAGATTTTGAAAAGTGGTTGATGGGATGCTCCGCCGATACCGGCGGTGTTTAATTTAGCTCGAATTTCAATGGCAGGTAAAAGGGACGTTTGGATGTTGATATTAAGCTAGCTTCTTTAGGGTTTTATGCCTTCAATTATTAGGACTACAGACTAGTTGAAGAACGAAGACCCAAATTCGAAAAGTCGTAATTTTTAATTCCTTTTAATGTAACGAAAGTCGTAACTTTTAATTGCTTTTATAATAATCATTATATTTTATAAATAATTTGATTTAATTTCATAAAAATTAACCTAATATAAAATTTTCTAAAATTTTGGGGATTGGAGAAATCATTTCGAGATTCAGGTTGAAATCAAAGGCTAATATATTAAATAAAATTTGAGGCGGAAGGATTTAACATTTTTTTAAAAAAAAGTTGAGGATATATAAATTATGTAAGTTTATATAAATATATTTAGAGTTTATTGACCGAAAATATCTTATAATATACGATTTTAATTAAATTTTTTTATTTGTAAAAATAACTCACGAATTCGCAACTCGAATTCGGATTCGCAACTCGAAATCCAATTTCGCAACACAGTTTCTGAATCCGCAACTCGAATTTGAAATTCGCAATACAGAAGTAGAATTCACAACTCGAACATGAAAATTTTCGCAACTCGAATTCGCCAATTTCGTAACTCAATTACCGACATAGGTAAATACGGTAAAAAAATTCGATAAAAAATATGAATTCGTCAATTTTAAAACTGAGTTGCGAATTTGACAAATTCGTGTTGCGAAATGTAAAATCGCTCATCTTAAAGAAGCTTCTAAGGGAGTTGCTGAATTGGTAAAAGACCCCAAACAAAAAGAGAGAGACAAACTAGATAAGGTCAAAAGTATAAAAGTTGGGGGTGAAGGAACCACCTTGGAACTCAACCCTCAATGATAATGTGTTTCTGGAACATAAGAGAATTTAACAATCCTCTTAAACAACATAGGGTGCTTCAAAGGGCAGCCCTAAATAAAGTAGATATTTTATGCTTGCTTGAAACTAGAATAAAGTCTGAAAAAGCTAAGACCATCTTTGATTATTCTAAACTGGCAAACTGGAATGTCAGTTCCAATTATGATTTTGCAATTAATGGCAGAATTTGGATCCTCTGGAAGAAAAACATTGAGTTTTCTTTACTCCAAGCTTCTAATCAAATTATTTCTGCCAAAGTAAATCACAATGGCCTCTCATTTGTCTTATCAGCAATCTATGGAAGTAATAACTATATCAACAGGAGATATCTTTGGAATCATCTGCATGAACTGGAGAGATCAATTGGTCACCTCCCTTGGATCCTGGGAGGAGATATCAACATTACTTTGTTTCCTAATGAAAGCTCTGATCATGAACTGCTCTGCCCTTACTCTTCACTTGATATGAAGGAATTCCAAACTATTACTCAGGACCTTGACCTCCATGATCATCCATTTTTTGGCCCTCTATTTACTTGGAGCAATAAGCAAACTGATTCTTTCCTCGCTAGAAAGCTTGACATAATTCTTATCAACCCTACTTGGGTCAACTCATTTCCAAGCTCTTTTGTTGAATTCCTCCCCCCAGGAGTTTCTGACCACTGCATGGCTTTACTTTGGCTTTCTAAAGACACTCCAACTAACAGGCCAAAATCGTTTAAATTCTTTAACTTTTGGACCTTGCATCCCAATTTTTTGAATGTTGTTAATCAGTCCTGGCAGAATTCTTTCCAAGGCAATCCTATGAAAAGACTGTTCTTAAAGCTAAAGCACCTAAAATCCAGCCTCAAGAATTTAAACCGTTCCTGTTACAATGACATTTCTACAAGGGTCAAATAAAAAAATGGATCTTGACAAGCAACAAATTCTCACTCTAAAGGTCAAGACTCTGTTGAGAAGGAAATCCAGATCGAACAAGAACTGCACATTCTTGAGGAAGCTGAATTAATGTTTTTGAAGCAAAAGGCAAAGATTCAATGGATTAAGGAGGGAGATAAATGCTCTAAGTTCTTCCATTCAGCTGTTGCTGTAAAAAATAAGAATGATACAATTCGGATGCTCATTGATGATCAGGGAACTAAATTGGATTCCTTTGATGCTATGGCCTCTGAAGTAATTGACTTTTTTTCACAACCTGATTGGGAAAGTTGATCCCCATGTCAAAGGAGGTAACTTGCAATTTTTGAAAGATCTTCTCAACTATTCCATTTCCACTGAATTTGCATCTGCCCTGATCAAAGATATAACCATAGAAGAGATTAAAGAAGCCATTTTTGAGCAAGGCAATGATAAAGCCCCTGGACCTGATGGTTATTCTCCTTATTTCTTCAAATATTCTTGGTCCATTATTGGTGAAGATGTTGTGGCAGCAGTTAAACATTTTTTCCAGCATTCCTTTATGCTCCCTGCCTTCAATGCAACAACTATTGTCCTGATTCCCAAAATTCCCAATCTTATCAAAGTCAAAGATTTCAGGCCAATTTCATGTTGCTCTATCATTTACAAGACTGTCACAAAGATTTTAGTCAAGAGATTAAATGGTCTTCTTCCTGATATTGTCTCTCTTAATCAAACAGCCTTTATTAAAGGAAGAAGCATTGTTGAAAACACCATCCTTGCTCAAGAATTGCTCAAAGGGTATGGAAGGAAGAACATCTCTCCAAGATGTTCCTTGAAGATTGATCTTCAAAAAGCTTTCGATACTCTGCACTGGGATTTCATTTCAATTGTTCTAAGAGCTTTAAATCTCCCTCCTCAATTTATTACTTGGATCGAATTCTGCTTCACTGATGCCAGATTCTCCATTGCATTCAATGGAACTTTGATAGGGTATTTCAAGGGAGCTAGAGGGATAAGGCAAGGTGATCCACTCTCCCCTCTTCTCTTTGTAATTTCAATGAATGTCCTCTCTAGATTATTGAATTTAGCTGCTGCAAAAAATCTGATTAACTTCCATCCTAAATGCAAAAGAATTGGCCTCACACATTTATCTTTCGCTGATGATTTGTTGATTTTCTGTAAAGGAAATGTGGATTCGGTCCTAGGTGTAATCTCTGTTCTTGAATAGTTTCATGAAATGTCTGGATTAAACATCAATGCATCTAAGTGTGTTTTCTATAGTGCTGGTATTTCCCCCAGTAACATTGAGCTTATCAAACATGCTACTGGATTCCATCCTGGATCCTTGTCTGCTCGATATCTTGGAGTCCCATTAACTTCAAGAAAACTCTTGGTAAAGGACTGTGAACCCCTTATTAATAGCATCAAAGTGAAGCTTTCTCTCTGGTCTAGTAAACAGCTCAGCTATGCAGTAAGATTGGAGCTGATCAGAGCAGTGCTGTTCAACATTGCTAATTATTGGTGCAGGCAACTCCTGCTCCCGCATTCTGTAATCAGCAAGATTGAACAGCTGTGTTGTCGTTTCTTTTGGAAAGGTTCTGATAAAAATGCTAGTGGAGCGAGAGTAAAATGGAGTAGTATCTGCCAGCTGAAGTCTGAGGGTGGCCTTGGTCTGAAAAATTTAAAAGAATGGAACCGAGCATGTATGATAAAACTCATTAAGAATGTACTTGCTAACGAGGGGTCCTTATGGGTGGCCTGGATAAATGCTTATGTCCTAAAGGGCAAGGACTTTTGGCAAATGGAAACAGGTTCAACATTAAGCTGGAGTTTCAATAAATTACTTAAACTGTGAGCCGATGCTCAAGTAATCCTTTCAAATGAAGCTCTATCGATAAGACAAATCTGGCAAGAGATTAGAACGAAGGGGGATAAAGTTCCTTGGCAATCTATTATTTGGTTCCCACAGAACATTCCTAAACACAACCTCATTGCCTGGATGGCAATGATCGATAGGCTGCCTACTCGAGATCGACTTCACCGCATAGGTATTGTTTCTAATGAAAGCTGTGTTTTATGCAACGAGTCATTGGAAAACAGAAATCATCTGTTCTTCGAATGCCAGACTGCTTCTCAATTACGAGACCAGATCTTTCACCTCAATGGAATTTACAAGACAGTATTATGATGGGAGGACTTGATTACATGGGCAAGTAAATATTGGAAAGGTAAATCCTTGTTAATCACTATCCTCAAATTAGCGTGGAATGCCACAATCTATGTTTTGTGGGAGGAACGTAACCGAAGAATCTTCAAAGGATGTTCTCGAAGCATTGAAGAATTACTCCGCACAATCAAAGACTTTGTAGGTATAAAACTAAGGGGTAAAAATATTAATAGGTTTGATGATGTAAACTCAAATCTTTGTATTGCTTGGGGTATTGACTAAAACCGATCGATTTTTATTTGGTATGTATTTTCTTTCTGTTTTCTGTGATCGGTGATTTTTTGTAGCTACTAAGCTTTCTTGGATAATAAAATTTCGATTTATCCAAAAAAAAAACGAACCGTCGAAACGATTTTTTCTTTAAGAGGCGAGATTTTACATTTCGCAACACGAATTTGTCAAATTCGAAACTCAGTTTTCAAATTGGCGAATTCAGATTTTTTTTTATCGGATTTTTCTACCATGTTGACCTATATCGGTAATTGAGTTGCGAAATTGGTCAAATTCGCAACACGAATTTGCCAAATTCGCAACTCAGTTTTCAAATTGGCGAATTCAGATTTTTTACCGTGTTTACCTATATCGGTAATTGAGTTGCGAAATTGACGAATTCGAGTTGCGAACACGAAATTCGCTTTGCGAAAATTTTCATGTTCGAGTTGTGAATTCTACTTCTGTGTTGCGAATTCGGAAACTGTATTGCGAAATTGGATTTGGAGTTGTGAATTCGTTGGTTATTTTTGCAAATAAAAAAAATGATTAAAATCATATATTATAAGACATTTTTGATCACTGAAATTATTATTTTTATTTAGAATTTAGGGTTATAAAAAATAACAAAACTGCGCTATAGTCGACTAATCGTTGACTATCCAATTAGTTGAACAAATAAAAAAGGTTGATTGATAATATAAGAGAATTCGAAACCTGGTAGAACCGGAAACTGAAAGTTGAGATCTCACTGTGATCATTAGGAAAGCAAAAGGCTTAGATCTACAACAACCCGAAAAATTTTCCAGGTATTTTTCTTCATCGCTTCATGAACTGTTATCATTCGATCTGTAACATTTATTTTTCATCTTGAGACTCAATCATTAGTATTAGAATCTAGGGTTTTCTTTATATAGAATTATTAGAAGTTTTACATTAGAAGTTTTACAAGGCTTGCTATTGTTGATTTGCTGACAGTAATGCTGAATTGTGGAACAAAGCTATTAAAGGCATGGCATGTACCTCGAAAATACCCGGTTGTAGTCCTACTTATGTTTCTGGTATCAGTCTCAATAGCATTGGTATTGCTTTTCCAGAAAAATGATGCAAAACCATGGAATAGGTTTGAGTCTTTGGTGCAATTTGATCCGAGGCGAGAGTTCAGGAACGGTACGGATTTGATATGGCAAATTCCCGATTCGCCCAAGGCTGTTATTTTTCTAGCTCATGGATGTAGTCTTAGAGCTGTTGATTTTTGGGATAGGTCTAGTAAATGCCCCGAATGTGTTGGTTTGCCGGAGGATAGGCTGCTCGTGCTTCATGCTCTTGCCCGTAAGTTCGCCGTCTTGACTGTATCGAGTGCAGGGAAGTGCTGGACGTTTGAGAAGGAAAGGTTGATTGTTGAAGATATTATAACATGGTGGGTTAAGAGACACAATCTTGGAAAGCTTCCTCTTGTGGCTTTGGGAGCTTCTTCGGGTGGGTATTTCGTGTCAGTGATCGCTAATAACTTGAAGTTTAATAGCATTACACTTATGATTGCCGAAGGATTATTTGATCAAATGAACATCAAAGAGGATTATCCACCGGCCCTTTTCGTGCACATGCCGAAAGATACAGGTAGAAAACAGAAAATTACTAAGTTCATGAGAGTTTTGCGAAATAAAGGGGTTGATGTTGCGGAGATAGAATGCATGGAGTTGCCTCTGTCACCGACCTTTTTGTCCGACAGAATCCCAAGTCTTGATCAGATTGTTTCTGTTAGATTGTTCGATTTATTCAAGGAGAAAGGCTTTGTCAATGAGAACGGGTATATGAAGCAGGACGGGCGTGCAACTCCTTGGGAAGATGCTCTTCAGGATAGTAAGATTAACTTGCTGGAAAAAGATTTGGTGCATCCTGTTGATGAAGAGCTAAATCTTGCGTTTGCCTATCATGAAATGACTAGTTTGCAATCCGATGAGATTTTCAAATGGTTCGAATCTCATATGACGTGAGCAGTGCGTAATTGTGCCGCATTCTTCTTTCTCTCCATCAAACTTAAGTACGGACTGAAATACACAGTCCATAGTATCGATCCCTCGACTCAAGCTGGACTAAATTGTTTAATGTTCGAAGTTTGTCTTCGAACAACCAAAGTCCTGATGAAAAAAGCTACTACCTTGACTGAAACCAAACCCTACTTTAAGGGGTCTGTTTGTTTCTAGTAATAGAATTTATCCAAATGTAATCTCAACTTACACATTACTGGATATGTTACATTATTTTGTTTGATTTATTTGGCCAAAATGTATGGTGTTTTGTTGATAGAAGATTACTTAAAAATCCATTTTACTAAAATGTCATTGGCGAATATGCTGACATTCCAAACAATTTCTTGATATATTTGACGACTATGTTTATGCTGTTATGTATGCAGAGGTCTAAATCTATTCGATACCTTGACGAGCAAGATGAATGCTCAGTGGCATAGAGAATCACGCTCTAGCTCTTCCGGTTCTTTCCATACCAGAATAATGAAGATCAATGATGTAAATCCGGGTCATGCACACTTTATGCTACAAAATCATGCAACATACGACAGGAACCGAAACCATTCTGCCGGTTACCGGGATTTATGTATTCGATATCTGTTGTTTCAGCTCCTACAGAAGATGCTGCAGGATTGTATATGTCATTTGCTTTCATTGCAATGAAATTCTGATGGCTTCCACCTGATATAGGTATGCTACCATCTTCACAATGATGCAATCCTAAAGAAACAGAGATGCTACATCCGCTTCCGAAACTCACCAATGCCGACATGTGGTAAGAAGCAGTAGCAGCTTTTGTAAACCGATCAATAGTACTATCAGAGTGAGTAATTGCATAAGCACTATCGGAATGAGTAATTGCATTTGGGAAGAGATTAGAGTCATCCGCATTAGACTTCTGGTTCGTCCTCCGACTCAGTAACCCATACTCAGTTTCAGCGTCTCCATGTGTGACATATTGGAAACTAACACCGGTAGTTGATCCAGCGATATGTACATCCAAGACATGGTCGGAACTGGAATACACCAACTCTCTGGTGCTACCTCTCTCCGTGGTTGATGAACTCCCGCTTTGTTACAGATCTTCTTCACCTCTGTCCTTGGAGGTCCTTGTAGCTCCTTTTCCTGCTTTGACCGTGTTTTCAGATGAAGAAATGGAGCCCATCTCTAAATCTGCAAATTCTTCCTTGTACATCTCTTCGACCACTGACTTCCAAAGACGCACTCGCATTTATAAACCAATTGGAAACCTGACCAGATGCAAATACATCATCAAGGAAATAATGCTACGGTTCATGGATACAATGGTAGCAAGATGATTAATATGTGATTACCTGACTTCTAGTTAAGCTCGTTTGTCTTGCTAAAATGATCTTCTCGGAGTCCTTCGGGTAGCTGGAGGACAATACAAATAGCACATAAGTACAATTGAGTTACAATGGCATCAGGATCTTTTCGAAAGGAGTATCATGTTAGAACGTACGGATTAAGAAAATGCTCGAACAGCCAAGCATGTAGAATTGAAACAGAATTTTCCAGAGGCCCTCTCTGGGGCCTCCATGCATGTTGCATCAAACCGAGCTGCTGAAGAGATTTCTGTTGCCTCAGTTGCTTCTCGACATAACTCAGACGAGTAATTCCTACTCCTTTACCGTTTTCTAAAGCATTCTGGTCCCTGAGACTTTTACGTGTTGCCCGAATTTGATCATTAATTGCATCTTTCAACCATAAAAAATGTAAGGCTTAGAGGCTCCTCACCCGGCTATCACATCGAATGGCAACACTACGATCTGCATCTGATGATGATACTGCTTATACCTCATCGATCAAACACAATGTACAACAGCTTTGTTATCTTGCTTTGTAGTTCTTGTCTTTCGGCATGTGAAAGCTCTTTTTTTTCAGCCGAGTGTTGCTGGTTTGAAGCCACATTTTTTGATTCCCCATCCTCCTTGTAACGCTTCATCCGGTTATCTTGTGAGCTTTGGTTTTTCTCTCAATCCGGCTGCTTTATGGCCTTCGGAACATTAACAACTTCATTGAGCAACTCTTGTGCTGCCTTGACATATTTAGAATTTGGAATAGTCCTCGACATACCAGACATTCCATATGAATCTTGATTAGCTCCAGCAAAACCATGCTGCAGGTAATCTGCATTTTTCAATTGCTTGTCTCTGGAAGGAAGTGAAGAATTATGAGTCAAGAACGAAGCGAAATCCGAATCGGGATTACGATGGAGGTTAGAAGGCATTTGAATCCCAAAGGGCATTTGAGTACCAAGGCTTTGTGACAATCCTTGACCTTGCAAGTTTATACCATTGTGAAGGATGTTAGCAGTACCAACCATTAGATGCATAGCAAGCATTTCATTCCTACCATCCCTCCAAGCATCGAAATCGTGTTCCGCGAATCGCCGTCGAGGCTTGACAAGATTTCTTGCTGCTACGAAGTCGAATCCGAAGCTTCCACAGCCTGAATCTCAATGCAATTACTTGGCTGCAGCTGAGGATTCCCAACAAATGAACCGTAATTCATATGCATCATCATAGTACCAGGAAGAACCGGTGCCTCTGGATATGAACCAGGCGATGATTCTCGCATATAGATCATCGGAGTGGCATCGCTTTGGTTATCCAAACCGGTGTAATAAGTAGACATATCAACTCAGATTACATAGGAAACTGAAATTACTTCCATTGGAAACAATATTCATACATCCATATATCCATACATGAAAGATAAAGTCAAAACCTATATATACATCGCATATGAATAAAAAAATACCTTGGAACCAGCAACATTTGTGGGGAACATGAATTGTCAAAGACACCAGCAGATCCGATGATGATAACAAAATCCTCACGAAATCAAACACTTTTAGATCCCAATAACCCAGTACAATAACAGCTACAACCTAAGTTGCAAACATTTAACTTTTTCATCAGAACTTTTGCAGATACCACAGTAAAAATATAGAACAAAACAAACCCAAACCTTAGAAAATCATGGTAATAACTTCTTTTCAATCTGCAGTTTGTTGCTTCAGATAAAATGTAATGATAATGATAATTCAAACACGGAAGGGTATAGAGAGAATGAGATAGAAAATGTAATGTTACCTCTCATTAATTTTATCTGACGTGGCAGTTAACTTTCGTTAACTCTTCTTCTTCTATTATTATAGAGCTCTGATACTTTTTAATTGTATGAAGGATTTGATCAAATACAATAACCAACTTTATTTTATGCCATACATTTTAAAATTATTGTTTTGTCTTCAAAGTTATGACATGCGATTCTTAAGACCCCTGTTTGACAAAAATTAACAAACCATTATTTCAGTTTTTTCCTTTTTTGGACATGACTTGATTATTAGAAGAAAATGTTAGCTTTGCCTAGTCTAGTTGCCAATCATTGTCTGAAGACCATGAAAGTTAATAATCCAAATTTACTATTACAGTAACGTCAGGGATCTTTCTGAAAATTGGCATAAAATTCAGTGGTTATATTATAAGTTTTAAAAGTTGAGTGATCAAAATGTAAACACCCTAAAAGTTTGGGAATTATTTATGTACTTCACCCTTATTATTATTATTATTATATATATATATTGATTTATTTAGTGGTCTTATTATGAAATTTTCCCTTATATTTTACAAAAACTGAAAACTTGGTCCATTTATTTTAATTTATCAAAATTTGATCTATGCACTTTACAAAAACTAAGAAGTTGTCTATTTGGATGACACTTTTAGACCTTACCATTAGACCATCAACCCGAAAATAGGCATTTCAAGTATTTATATATAATAAAATAATAGATTCAATATTTAAGCTTGTGTTTTCCAACAAGTGTATTAACTTGTTAATTTTCATGAACTACAAGAACTAAGTTCAGAAAAATTGAATATAGGATAAAATTCATGATTTGATATGTTTTATTTGATTTTTTTTGCTTTTAGGTTTAATTGCACCTCAGTCATTGTACTCTTTGAAATTTTAAAAATTTAGTCCTCTTCTTTTAATTTTATGAAACTATTCCATTTACTTGTCATTTTTAAACTAAGACTTTTGAATATTTAAAAGACAACATATGTTCATATTTATTTTCTAGAACTCGGCTAACTTTATAATGCAGTTCAAATTTTAAATTAGACAAGTAACTGGATTAAATTTTAAAGGATTAATTTTAAAGTTTAAATAATAAATGGATTAGTGATAGAGATGCGGCAGCGAATGAATGAATGTTTCTCATAGTCGAAAAATCAAACTTAAAAAGTTCTAGACTCGATAAAAAAACTAAAGGTGGAGAATGGATGATGTCGACGATAATTAGGGTTTAAAGGAGTTTAGGTTTGCTAGAAAATTGTACAAAAGAAATAAGATGAAGACAATAAAGATAGAATAAAGATAATGAAATAAAGCACATACAACAAATATTATAAGATAGGAATAACTTAGCCAAAATTAGGGTTTGGTGGTGATGAGAGATAATGGTGAATTGACGATGAAGACGATGATGATATATAGTTGTCCTATGAACCCTTATAGTTGCAATTAACTAGGCAAACTCGATAATCAGCTCTAACCAGCCCTCATAATCACAATTAAGAGGCAAATCGGAGTGAAAATCTCCCTCACGAAGAACTTGAAAGAACTTAATGATAAAGAATGCTTCAAAGGAACAAGTCAATAAGCACTTGCAAAATGAACTCTCTTTGTATTATTAATCAAAGAAATATGATTTACAATGATGAATGAACTGTCCTTTATAAAGGAGAGGAGTTCTAAAATTCCTAAGCAACTAATGAATAAATTAGTAATAAACTAACAATGATTCTAATTCCTAATAAAATAATAATAAACTAAGAATAATGTTTTAACTCAATCTTAATTCATAATAAAACAATAAATTTAATCCTAAAAAATAATGCATCGTCCTATATTAAATTATATTACAAATTATCAAC